AATCCAGAAGTCACCAAGTAATCCAAATATTCCCAAGCTGTTTCTTCTTACTTCTTTTTTCACTTTCTCTTCCTGAGGTTTTACTATTTTGTTGCCATGTTTCAGTTAAAATGTATCTTTTAGAAGTCTTGTTGAGATTTTACTGTAAGTTCTTTTTAATTCCAGGCAGTCTCCTCCCTTCCAGATCCTGCCCTTTTATTCTTTTTCTCTCCTTTCCTGCTTTCAAAAGCTTTTAAATATCCAGAAATCTTTATTATCCCTTTGACATTTTATTTTCAGCTTAAATGCCTATTGATGTCAAAGTGGATTTTTTTTTCAATTTCTTGCTTAAGTCTCTTAGCTGTCAGTATAGGGAAAGGAAGAGGAGAGAAAAAAACCCAAATTCTTTCCCTTTTCTCTCTCCTTCGCTGCTTGAAAATCTTCTTTGGGAACAGTGTTATTTTTTAAAAAAAAAATAATTCCTGGGTACCTTATTTATTGCTTTTTGCTGTTTGACTCAGTCAACCAAAACTTTCTCTTCTTACGTTCCTCCTGCACGTTCTGTTCCGGTCAAGTTCTTCTTTGGGGTGGCTATTTCTGACCATCGCTGCAACCGCCTTCGATAAAGGGAGTAATGGCCAGCTGAGGAGGAGAGATGCAGCTCTCTTCAACCCTGCAGGCAGTCTCCCCCCTCTTCACCACCTCTACGGGGTGGCTTAGTCCTGAAACCAGCTGGCTTGGGGCGCTCCAGAGGCGAGCACGGATCAAAACCGTGCAGAGTTGCGGTTTAGGTCTGTCGCCGAAGAAGCTTAAACCAGAAGTCGGGGTGGTGTTCTTTTTCTGTTGACTTGGCCCTTTGGCCTACCTAAAACTGCTCTGGGTTGCGCAAGGACTTTGTCCTTGAAGTGACTTCAAAACTGTTTTTTTTAATGGCCTCCGCAGCCTCCAAGAGTACTCCGGGTGTACTCCGCAAGAGTACACCCTGTTGTGCAATTTTCAGAGGCTGCCCCAGAACACACCCCATTTTCACATGAACAATTCCTGTACAATTTTTGAGGCTCCAGTGTCCATGTGAAAGCATATCCCATTCCCTTGCAGCCTCCAAACATCATACGAGAGGAGGGCATGCTTTCAAAAATTAGTTGTTGGGTGTTGGTGAATGTTGGTGTCACCCAAAATGTTGTAGCACATCGTCTTTGACACACGTCATAGGTTTGTCTAAACAGACACTGCCTGCTCCAGAAAAAACTCACTATCCCTGCATCTAAAGTAGGCTTGAAGTTTCTCCAGAAAATATATGTATCGTCCTTATTGTTGTATTGGGCCCAAGTGGCATTTTTAAAGCATTCTGAAAGCATTTTAAATTACTTTTCAATCAGTTAGCCCTATAAAGTAAATTAATGATTAAAGACATTTAAACAAAATGTTTCCTCAACTCTGTCCTACAGAATAGTTCTTTGAACATGAAAACACAGCACAGGTATATATGGGAAAGTCTTTCCAAATTTAATCTTTGCAACAATTCAGTGTGATAGGTTGGGTCTGAGAGAACATGACTAGCCTAAAGTCATCACTGACCTCTGCAACTGAGTGGGCACTTGAACTATTTCCAATGCCTTAACAACTATACTATATCGGCAATCAATACTGTATACAGTACATGATATTTAAAGTAAAATAGTACATTTTTGGAGCCACGTTGAGAAAAGCTGTGGGACTTCCTTTTGGAAGTTATCAACTTCACAATCTCTTTGTACTGCTAGGATATTTTGATCAATGAAGGGATCAGATGTTGTAGGAAGAGAGCTGTGTTAGTCTATCGTAGCCCAATATCAGAAGAAGGCTAGTAGCATCTTTCAGATTAACGAATTTTATTAAGAGGTATAAGCTTTTGAAAGCTATGACTCTCTTCATTAGATGCAATATAATGAAAGGGTGATAATACACAAGCAATTTTTCACCCAATTGATCAACAATACCTCTCTGACTCATTCCAATTTAAATCTGACATCAATCTAGCCATTCCATTGCATCTGATGAAGTGAGCTCACAAATCTTATGCTTCAATGAAATGAGAAAACCTTAGTCTGAAAATGTACTACCATGTCCCTAAGGGATCAAGCTATACAAGACTTATCTAATTCAAGTAACAATGATTGCTTTAGCACTTTGGACTAACTTTGTTTAACCATGGTACGTTGCATAATATGTAATTAGGTACATTCACATTCTATAATAAACCAGAACAACACCCCTCCCAGATTATAGCTTCCCAATACATCTTAATATCTTGCATTATAAGAGGACATGTCAATCATGATTAAAACATTCATCTATTTTCATCTTGACCTACTGACTTTCCTCCATTGTGGTTTCAGCTATAAACTGACAACGATGTTTCTGACTAATGGTTTTCTTATGTATACATATGCACACACACCTCTATAAAAGAGGATTTTAAAACGTAAGAAAATCAATCACAAAACAATGTAAAATAACATAAAACAATCATTTGATTATTGAAATGCAGGAATACTGTGTAGAAAACAGACTATTCCAGCTAGCTTGTTATTATCAATAGAAGAGAATATTTGTAGCTCAGGGTTGAATTGTGTGGTCCTTGGTGCCCTCTGAGCTTGGTTGTTTTCTTACACACACGCATTTCATTACCAAACTAGGAACTATCATCAGTGCTAAAAGGGAGTGGGGTTTGCTCCCATTTTATATACTCAGTGGCTTGCCCTGTCAGTGTTGGTGGGAGTGGTCTTAGTGGTTTCTTGATGGGGCTGCTGTTTACTGTTAGCTTGTTTGTCTGAGTTAGTAGTTCCTTGATTGAGGTATTGTTATCATATATGGTTATGCCAATCTAGATTGTGTAGGGATTATGGAAGATGTGATCCAACAACTCCAGATGCACTAGACTGGAGAAACCTAGTCTATGTTAATAAGCAGTGACTTTGTTGACCTTCGTACTTCTACTTGGACATGCCAGAGTTGATTGTGGAAACATACTGCATTCAATAGGTGCACCACACATCTATAGATCTTCTCTATATACCTGTCTGAATACATGCACAAACTGTCAATTTGAGTGTTTCAAGCAAATGCCTTCAAGAAAGATTAATGAACCCCTGTTGGCAATATGCGAGAAAGAGCTGAGAAAGAGCTAAAGTTATAGATTCAGGGGTGGGATTCTACCGGTTCTGTCCACCTCTGTAGAACCAGTGGTTCTGAAGAGCAGCAGACAGAGAACATACATAGAACTGGTTCTATGTCTGCTGCTGTTTTGGCCCACCTGCCCGCCCAGGCTCTTACCTGACCTTTATTTCCTGCTCTTTCAACCACAGCTGCTTTGTGCGACACAGCTGTGGTTGAAAAAGCAGGAAAAAAGAGCTTGTTCAATTGCTGTGCACCCATGCGCAGCACTGCTCTGCTGTCCAGGCAGCTAGCTGACGATATACACCCGCATGCAGCAAAACATAAAATCACCGAACCAGTAGTTAAACCAGTCGGATCCCACCTACCATATAATATTTTTTCTATTTAACTTATGACAATCAAGTCACACCTGAAGACCAACTCTGGGAAATCAAGTGAATTTTTTTTCCTAATAAACTTTTAAGTATCTGCTGCCCTCCAGAGGAAATAAATTTTTAAGATTCTAGAATGAACATTGTACCTACCGTACATGGTTCTATAGTCATGTTTCACAAAACTTTATGGATTTTAGGATATGACAATGTTAATTTTTGACTTCAAAGTCAGAGACCTAAATTTCTCTTAAATTGTGAATCTTACTAACATCCATGAACCTCTTATTATCTGCTCAAGGATAAAAGGAGAGATGTCTTATGTCTGTCCCCATTATATGAAATTATATGAAAGATTGGAATGCTTAGACTTTCCAGGGATTTTTCAGAATTTCCTAATGTTTTATATTTTAATTAGGTATCATTAAACAACTGGACTGCACCACTATTCACCATCAACTCCAAATCACTTACCCAACTATTTCAAAATCCAACTGTCCTTTTTTTAAAATGTTCCTCAGCTACAGAAATTAATAAAATTTATCTATTTAGTCTACACTTTGCTGCTTATTATTATTATTCCATGAAGTTACCTACCGATATATTCTAAGGTGGTTACATTTATTCAGAAGTACTTGATGAAGGATGTAATCAAAAGCAATTCTAGACAGCTGGTTTGCTTTACCTCTATATAACATATTGATCCATATTCAACAAATGTTATAATAGTTACTAAAGCTAATGCTGCTTTCTACCAATTTACCCAAGATAAAAATCACTCAAGATGGCCTTTAATTAATTTAATTTCCTTTGGTCTTATTTAAAATGAGTAATACATTGGTTACTTTTTAACTGTTGAGGTCAATGCTGGTAGCAAGTTCCATAGTTTTGTTATATTATCATAAAGGACATAATAATATTTAATAATAATAATAATAATAATAATAATAATAATAATAATAATAATA